ACAGAATCATGTATTTGCTACAGAATCCCAGGTAACATTTACTTATCGAGGCTGTGAACATTTGGTGTGTCTATTTGTGATCTGTCTCGGTCTATACGTATTCTTGGGCATGTAATCCGGGCTTGATGTAGGTACCGTTGTAGGACAGAAATGTGTAATACACACAAAATGAATGTCACTAAGCTATTTTGTAAGTACTGGTGCCCTCTAGAGGAAATGTGGTGGCATTGCTCTTTAATTTGTTGCTGATATGGGACTGAGTCAAGAATTGCAGGAGGGCGGTGGTATGAAGTTATGGAAAATAAATCCTGTCAAACTGGATATCTATTTGAGATTACAAATGTGGTTAATTTGGCATCAGTAAAGTGTTTGACTCTGCACCCCATGACATGTTAAACAGCTAGAACTTAAGTCTTGGCTTGACAAAGCCCTGGCTGGGTTGATTTTAGTTGGGATTGGTCCTGCCTAGATCAGGGGGCTGGACTTGATGACCTTCTGAGGTCTCTTGTAGCTCTATAGTTCTATGATTCTATGAATGATGTAAAATTAACACAGCACACATCTGAACTTATGTCTGTTTCTGTGCCACCTAATCTGCAGACCAAGTCTATGCTGAGACCACTGGAGCTGTCACTATCTAGCCAGTCCTCCAGTTCTGAGAGTGAAGCTCTAAAGAGAGAGCTAGACAACATGAGAACCTGTTATGGAGCAGCAAAAGAAGAAATCAGCAAACTTCAGAAAGAGCTGTCTCATAAGGTAGCTGAATGCAAAGCTTTGGCATCCGAGTGTGACAGAACCAAGGAGGAATCGGATGGCCAGATAAAGCAATTGGAAGATGCTTTAAAAGATGTGCAGAAGAGAATGTTTGACTCAGAAGGCAAAGTAAAGCAAATGCAAACCCACTTTCTTGCGTTGAAGGATCACCTGACTAATGAAGCTGCTGTAGGAAGCAGTAAGTTAACAGAAGAACTAAAGGATCAACTGAAAGACATGAAAGCAAAATATGAAGGTGCTTCTGCAGAAGTAGGCAAGCTAAGGAACCAAATCAAGCAAAATGAATTGTTAGTTGCCGAATTTAAAAGCGATGAGGGGAGGCTGGTGGAGGAAAACAAAAAGTTACAGAAGGAACTCGGTATGTTAGAGATGGAGCGAGAGAAGGGTGAGAGAAATGTCTTGGAGGTACAAGGACAGCTAAAAGAAGTGGCAGCAAAGTTAGTCCTCTCTGTACCTGTTGAGAGATTTGAAAATATGAAGAGTTTATTGTCAACCGAAGTGAATGAGAAAGCAAAGAAGTTATTACAGATGGAAAGAGAGTATGAAAACCTGCAGGCAGAGTATCGGCTCGTAAAGAAGGAATTCGAAAGTCAGAAAGCTAAACTTGCTCAGCATGTGAGGCCAGAGGAGCACGAACAAATGAGGGGCAGATTTGAACAAAAAACTAGAGACCTGGAAAAAACGATTTCTGAATTAGTGTTGAAGAATCAGACATCGCAGAAGGAAGTGGAAAAGGTTCACATGGACAACAAGTTGCTTAAGCAGCAAATAACCACGCTAACGGAGGAGCTGAAAAGCCAATTTGTGCCTTTAAAACTGAATGAAGAGATGAAAAAAGCTAGTGATCTGACTATTGGGGATCTGACCCAACAACTTGCTGAAGTAACGCAAAAGTATGATGAAAACAAGGCAGAAGCTGAGAAGTTGCGGATGGAAAAGACCCGTTTAAGTGAGACTGTAAGTCACTTCCAGGCTGTGTACTTGTCTCCAGAAAAGCACGAAAAAGAAGTGGCAGCCTTGAAATCCAACATTGTGGAACTTAAAAGGCAGCTTGCTGAGCTTCATCAAAAATATGATGCTGAACAAGCAAAAGTCTTCAGACTTGTGTCTGAAAACACAACTCTGAGGGACACGATGAATGCTCAGTATGTGCCTGCTGCAACACACGAGGAGATTAAAACAGTCCTGAACAATACATTAGAAAAGACGAATAGAGAGTTGTCAGAGCTGAAGGAAAAAACGGAAGATATAAAGCGAGAATTTATGAGAGTAAATGAAGAGAATGGAACTTTGAAAAAGAAGCTGAGGCTCCTACAGAACAACATCCAAACAGAGTATGTAAATATAAAAGATCATGAGAGTAAGGTGTCGACCTTAAGTAAAAGCATTCAAGAATTACAGGACAGAAACACTGAAACATTGACTAAATATAAGAGAGGTCAAGAGGAAATCTCTCAGTTGCATGCCGAAATTGAAGCCCAGAAGAAGGAACTAGACACAATTCAAGAATGCATTAAGTCAAAATATGCCCCAGTTGCCTGCTTTGAAGAGAAAGAGAGAGACTTTGATGCCACGGTGAAGGAACTAAAAAAACAATTGCTGGAACAGACACAGAGATGCAGAGAATGTGAAGATGACACACACAAATACAAACAAGAAAACGAAAAGTTAAAGAATGGGTTTTTGTCTATCCAAAATGACTTGCAACAGAATTACATTCTTGCTGAGAAATCACATGAAATGGAGAAAATGTTCACCAGCAAAATGGAAGAACTGAATAAGCAACTGAGAGAATTACTGCACAAATACACGGAGATAAAACACGAGAAAGACAAGCTCCAAGAAGAGAGCGCTAAGCAGATTTCGGAGGCCCTGGCTATGCAAACTCGTATGCAGGGCCAATATGTTCCCATGGAACAATTTGAAGCCTTGAAGAGAACGCTTAGCCACACGATAGAGGACCTAAAAGAAGAACTCAGCAGTAAGAAGGCGTGCTATGACAGAGAAGTAGAAAAAGTAAGAGAACTGAAATCTACGTAACTCCTCGATATCTTTGATAGAACATGCACAGATGAAAGGAGTGCTCGAAAAAGAAATTACAGCCGTCCAAACTAGCTTGAAAAAAGAGGTGGAAGAAAACCAATCCAAAAGTGAGGCAATTGCTAAGCTCCAGTCTGAGATTCAGAGTGCTAGACAAACTTTAACTGAACTGGAGAGCAAGGAAGTCATTGAGATGTCGGAGTACAAATCCATGAAAAGTGCCTTAGAGAGCCAGGTGACCAGCATTGCTGGAGACTTGGCCAGCTTGAATAGAAAATACGAGGCAATGTGTGAAGAAGCCATGCAAGCCAAAAAGGAAGAGCTCTCTGCAAAAGATGAGAAAGAATTGTTGCAGTCAAGAAGCTTCAGCATTGAACAAGAAATTAAGGACCAGAAAGAGAGATGTGATAAATCTTTGACGACAATCACTGACTTGCAAAAAAGAATCCAGGAATCTGCAAAGCAAGTGGAAGCAAAAGATAATAAGGTGGGCAGAAAGTGTCAAAGAGCTAATAGTATTAAATGCCTCAGATGTAGTTCCCTAACTAGACTCATTTACATGATTAAATGTAGGCCAAATTTACAAAGCCACTGATCAGTTTTTTGTGCTGTTATGCAGAGCGCTATCTGATTCCTCAGAAAATTATAACAACTTCTGTTCTTCTAGAATTTTCAGGCTTACATGCTTTATTCAGATTAAAAATATTCATACTATATCTACTAGCAAATAAAAACAAATCTAAACAAAAATTCAATTGTGCAATTAATTGTGTGCACCTCCCCTTTGAAACGCTGCAGTGACTTTTCAACGGGGCAGTGCTGCATGGAGCCCAGGATCAGCTGGAGTCCTCAGCTGACTGAGGGTTCCATGCAGAGCTGCCTCTTGGAAGTGCTGCAGTGGCGTTTCTAAGGGGCAGCACGTTAGGAGCCTGGGATCAGCTGGGAACCCCAGCTGATCCCTGGCTCCGCAATTGCAAAGCCCCTTTGAAGGGCTGGAGCAGCATTTCAAAGGGGCTTTGAAACGTGGAGCCGGGGATCAGCTGGGCACTCCAGCTGATCCCCAGCTCTGTTTGGGCTGCCCCTTTGAAGTGCCGGAGCAGCACTTCAAAGGGGCAGTGCAGCATTAATGCCTGCGACCCTGTCCTGCATTAATCATAGGTGTTAATGCAGGTCAATTGACAGCCCCTACTCGGCTTCCTTTGTGTGTTGCCATGTCATTTTGATGCTGCTGCTTGGCAATTTAACACTAAACTGTATTGGGAAGTGAGTGAGAGAAGATTTAAAGCATCATGGACATGTGATGAGCGAGACTTGCTAAGTGCCTGGTTGGTCTGTGGGCTGTGTCTTACAGAGTTGTGAATCCTCAGAAGCTGAGAGCACAGTAACAGTATCTGATCTATTTTCAAAGCAGCTCTTTCTCAGAGGGACTTTTCTAGTAAGCCACGCTTTATGGGCTACATTGAGAAGTCCGATATTATGATGCCTCCGTACCTGTGTCTACCTTTAGTTGGCCTTGCAAACTAGTAACCTGTTCAGAAAATGGTCCATTATAATCTTGGTGTTTCTGTGATAGATAACAGAGCTACTAAATGATGTAGAACGCCTAAAGCAAGCGCTCAATGGCCTGTCTCAGCTTACGTACACCTGTGGGGTTCCCCCCAAGAGACAGAACCAGCAGGTTGAAATGCTCCAGCACGAGGTGAAAACCCTGCAGCAGCAGCTGGCTGTAAGTACTTTGCTGCAGAGCTCAGTCTTAAGGCGTGTTAGGAGTGGCAGAATAAGCATTCTGATATGGTTAGGCACCGGGCAGGGCGTGGGCAGGCAGCTAGGATCCTCTGAGGAAAAGTGCCGTTGTGTAAACACACTGCCTTTGGGGTGGAACATTTTGGAGGGTTCCTCTTGTTCCCGCTCGCCTGTGCCCATGAGGGGGTAGCAGTGTCCTTGGGAAAGCTGTCCAAATGCAGTGCTTTCTTACTGCAGTATTGATCCAGAGTCACTGACCTAGTCCTGGGTGCAGGTGTGCATTGGGAATGTGTACCACACATGCCACCAGTGGATTCCATGCAGGACAGCACCGGGGGAGCATCCTCGCTGCCCCAAGGAATTAACTGTCTCGGGATGTCTACACAGAAGCTGAGACAGCGCTTCCCAGCTGGGTACCCCTGGCATCCACTCGCTCTGTTTGAGCCAACGCGCTAATAACAGTAGCGGGGCCGCAACGGCAAAGGTGGTGGCTTGGGCAAGCAGCCTGAGAACGCAAGCAGGGGAGTCGGGTTGGGATGTACTCAAGAGGTGAGCACAAGCCACTGTCTCTGCTGGGCTGGTATTTTTAGCAGAGTTACCTGTGTCTGTCTGTGCTGGGAGGGTCCCAGCTGCTGAGTCCGAGGCTGCAAATGCTTATTCCAGCATGATGGCTACTGTTGAGAGCAGCCCCATTGCAGTTTGTGGGAGTAAGTGCTAGGGCATTAGTATCTACGTACATGTATCTCTATTTATGGACTAGCACTGTTGACTTTCATGGAATTACTCATTAGAGCAAAGTTACACACGTGCAAATCTGCAGGGGTTTGGGGTACGTTCCTGGCAGTGTTTGCAGCATTGCCACATAGTGAGAGAAAGTGAATTTAAATTGGGACTTGGATTTGGGGCCTTCAGAACCGAAGTTAAATCTTCTCTTGTCCAAGTAGGTGTTTGCAGCCAAGGGGAGCTGCAGGAAGCCCAAAGGACGAAACGGAGCCAAATGGGAGCCACGAGGCTCCGTGGTCAGGAAATAAACAAACCGGGGCAGCCAGTTAGTGTGTTTCTCAAAGTGGTTTCGCGGAGCACTTTCAGAAATACTGTTCTGGAGAGCCTGTTTCAAGGCAAAACACTTCGGGCTGATGTTAAACTGAAAGACTCTGTTATTTGGCGAAGATTTTTGTAAACCTTAACCTTGAAATTCCAAGGTAGTATGACTCTTAAACAAGCAACCCAAGTCAAATTGGGATTATGCAGAGAATTGATACTGAAAATACTGACATCTTTCTCTCCTTTGTCCCTTTTTACATGCAGGATGCTGATAGACAGCACCAAGAAGTAATTTCAATTTATCGGACCCATCTTCTTAGTGCTGTGCAGGTATGTTAGCCGGTCTGTAAAAACGAAAGTGCCTTTCTGATGAGTTAAGCAGTTTGTAGAAACAATCTCTTTTCAAAGTAAATATGTATGACTAACAGCTTGTGTCTGTGCCTCCTGTGTGCACATTAAAATATTTAAAAAGGCTTTTTGCAGTGCCAGCGTATCTTCCCAAAGAAATGGAGAAGCAAGAGGATTGTGGCAGGTTACAATTTAGCGTTTGCCTTCCTCAGCCTGTCGCTTTTTAGGGACATCTAGATGACATACAGTGGTGACCTGCTCAAAGAGGGATAATACAATGTGTCCATAACCTAAAGAGGGCAGTGAAGCAGGAGCATTGGGAACTTTCAACTCTCCAGTTCCTTTCGAATAGGGAATAAAAGGCCAGTACGTTTTTCCCTGGAGGGACTGGCTGCAGCAAGGGACAGCCATGTGGTTCAGCTCAGAAGCTGTGCAATTTCAGATCCTAAATACGACTCTGAAGTTAGTCCCACCCCATAGCTGGGGACCGTAGACAGTAACTGCAAGGCTGTCCAGAAGATCTGAACAGCAACATCTCTAAATCAAAACAGCGATTTCAAACAGGAAATTCACCATGGCGTGGCCAAGTTGGAAATTAAGCTCTGCTGACCGTTGTTGATGTGGTTAATGAAATTGGTAACACAATGAGATGGGGATTGACCATGCATTTCTTTTAAATGTATTTGTGACTAATGCAGTCTGGTTTTTAACCAAACCTGTGTTTTCCCCAACTCCAGGGCCACATGGATGAAGATGTACAAGCTGCCTTACTCCAGATCATTCGAATGAGACAGGGGCTTGTTTGTTAATCTGCTTAATGCTGCTTCTGTGCCATGGCTGCTGCATCCTGTAGGAGTGCTGTGACTACAGTAGTATAACCTGCAGGACCTTTGTCTTATTGTGGCGTTGAAACCGTACAAAATATGCCCCCCCCCGCGTTATTCCAAGAGGCTGAAGTCCTATGCTCCTTGTAAAATAGCACAGTATGGCAACTGAGTTCAAATTGGACATTTCAGATACGTGGGAGTAAACCTTGTGCAGAATTTATTTTACAATTGGGGTACAAACTGGCAGTCAAAATGATGACATAGTACTTCCACTCTTTTAATGTCGGATTGACCATTTTAGAATATACAAATCCATAGTCAATACCTCCAAATTGATTCTATTGTAATTCCCAAAGCATGAATGACAGTGAGCTAAAACTGAAGTGACTGTGGCTGACATACTGTGACCGTGTTTCTTTCTTTTAATGGTTAACAAGCGTGCTTTGGATGATCATATCATGTTGATCATCAGATTGACAGTAGGTCAACTACAAAAAAAGATGGATAGTGTGGAAGTATCCAGTGTAGCTTGGCTGGCCAGGTTACATTCTTTTATTTAAGTAATTTAAGATTTAGTGCCTTAGTGTTTTCCTTAGAGGTACAAATCCATTTTCTCCAGCCGACACTAACTTTTATGCTTTTTTACAAGAGATATTTTTTCATGAATGCTGTATAACACTGATTTCAGTAGGCTAAGAAACAGCAGGACTGGAGTAGATCATGAACGTAGAGCAGCAATTTCAGTCTCAAACGAAAGTCCAGTTTTTAGTCTTCTGTATCTTTTCTAACTTCATTATGCATAAAAATGGACCTAGATTGTGTAGCACACTTGATAAAGTTGTACATTGTCTAACTCAAGTGTCAGATGGTCACCCATTTTCCAGCAAAAGCTTAAGAGGTTTTTCTGGTTTATTAACGCTGTAAATGATGTACTATAATCAGTTTTTGGTTATTTATAGGGAAATAATCAGTTTTTGATTATTTATAGGGACAGATGCAAATAGTAAAGTTCGTAGAGGAATCTCATTTGGAATTCACACGTTAAAACAAAACCAAGCTTCATATTTGTAAGTAGAAGTGCAATAATGCCAAAGAATGAAATATCTACAGTCAAGTTTTGTAGAAGAAAATACGAAAAGCGGGACTAATTCAAGGAAAATAGCAAGGATACAAGAGTCAAATCACAAAGTCACTGGTATTTTTTGGTATTTTTTGTTTTTAGTATCTCAATAAAGAGTACAGCCTGAGCCCGTGAATACTACTTATTGGCGATACTGCTCTTTGCTGCTAGGAGTAGTCCTACTAACCGCACTATGCTCGGTAGTATACATTTGCCCATAATTGGCAAGTAATTTGCTGTCGTGCTGGCATGGATACAGGGCAGGACAGAACAGAATTCAGCATCTGTGTTCCTGCAAATAGGAGACTGTCCCAACTGTACAGCAAATTCTGAGTGCTTAATTTAACAACCTGCTTTTAAGCTTCCTGTTCTCCAACAGAGTTTAGTCTCTCTGCTCCGAGTGTGGGCCACCTTCTTTCTCATGGTAATGACAGCCCCCCGACATGGGGAAGGAGGGTATTGATGCTGGCATTTCTAAGGCAAACTCTTGTGAAAATGCACATCTAATATATTCAGCTCTAGTGTGACAACTGATCACTCTTGTTTCCTTCTGTTTCCCAGGAGTCCCGTGAGCTCACCAAGTGTACTTTAGTTTTTAGAAATTCTCTTCCAATCCCAGCTTGAGGCTCTGGTTGGAGAGAGATTGTTTGGCTATACTAATACTGGCATATTTTGGGATTGTATTTTTCCTTACTGGGGGAAGTTTTATGTTTTTTTTTTCTTGTATTACATATCAATAAAGTGTTTTATCTTAACATAACAGTCCATTGGTAAATGGTAAAGCAGCAAAGTGCCTCCTGGTTTATTGGGAATACAGTGTCTGGCCGTGGTGTCCAACCAGTTCTAACGCAGTAGCCATTCTAGTGGCTACTGCTAGAGCAAACTAGCCATGCTCAACTGGCCAAATAGCCACATGTGGCTAGTGACTCGCGTATTGGACACCAGGGTTCTGTGGGGAAGGTTTTGTCTGTGTGTTGCCAAGGCATGTACTGGCATTGCCAACGTCTGAGGCGAGCTTTCAGAGTTTATGAAAGGTTCACAGTACTGGATACTGTGCAAGCTTCTACAACGGGGTAGGGGAGGAACCTTTTTTGGGTTGGGGGCTGCCCCCTCCCCAAAATCAGTCGAGTGAGAACACAACACAACAAAAACACAGCACAACACAACCCTTCACTGCTACGGCCCCTGACTGAGGAGGAAGACCCTCTCCACATTCCCCATGCACACCAGAGCCTAGAAGGGCCCAGGCGAGTAGATTTTATGTGTTTCAGCCCTGTGGTGGGGGTGGACCACTGAGCCTCGGGGGCTGGATCCAGGCAAGCCAGTGGCCGGATCCAGACCCCGGGCCTGAGGCTCCCTACCCCTGTTCTACAAAGTGGGCTGTCAAAAGAAATCTCCCTGACTCCCTCCAAAACTGAGCAGTTCAGTCAATCCCGTGCTACGAATGATGCCACCAGCAAGAGGGCAGCTGTGAGGTTTGTGTCAAGTGTCTCTTAACATTGCTGCCTCGCTCTTTGGGAGTAACCGAATGGCCTTCACAGGTTCCAACTGGAGAGCACTGCCAAAATGGCCAGATTGGAACTGGTGACCTTGGGACAAAGGGCTCTGTACTGATATTTAACCCAAATATGAGCTTCAGATTAGTCTGTGTAATGTGTTCAGGACAGGCCCATGAAAGGAAAAAAAAAAAAAAAAAAACCCCACACACACTTTTCTTAGGGAGAAGTGCACAATGAGTCTCGACTTAATGCAGTCATTGATCATTTTCTCTCAGAACTTTTACAGAAGTGGTAAGTGCTGTGAAAAATGTCTTCCAGTCTTCTAATTCCCCTCACATCTGACCTGAAACACCTCTTGCATTTGCAGCTTTCTCCTTCAGAGAGCCTGCCAGGTGGGGCAAAAAATGTGGTTGGATGTGACTGAGCATCCTCCGAGCAGCAGATTCTTGTAACTGTTAACCTTACTGTGAGTATCAGCTAATCTACCACACTTGCTCCTCAGACTTTATTTGGAAACTCGTTTTACTTATTTACCAGTAATCTGCTATATGTATTGTTGGATAATCTCTGCTACTTATTTCACATTGCAGCCAGTTATTTGAAAGCTTTTAATGGCTATCCCTTATGGTTTTTATGAAGCAAGCAGAGTCCCCTGTGCTATAGAAGTTTTCAGTGGGAATCTGATACATAGATCACCTATTTAAACATGATCTTGAAAATTTCCTCTCAAGAGTAAGATGACAGTGGAAGATTTTAATTCTCAGCCCTTTTAAACTTTCAATAAAATGGAGTCTTGGAAATGCTGTTAAAATCTGGACCGGAGCAACCTCTGCCTGCAGGTGCCCCACGGGGCTGGAGCAACCCCCTGCCCATAGCAGGGGGGTAGGCGAGAGGTTTTGGGAGGATAGCTGGCTTGGAAATATTTCTGAATTCTGGAAAGCTTAGAGGTTATTGCTTTCTGAATGACTTAATGCTTGTATTGCTCTGCCAACTCAGAAGATTAACTTTTAATAGAAAAAAAATGGTATGATATAATTTAGTCACAGCTATTAGATCAGATAGATTTTACATTAAGTGTAAAAAAATTTGAAGCATTTAAGGGCCATTACACTTCAGGGCTTTTTCTATAGGAATCCTAGGCCTCTAAGCCAGCACTCTGATGTGAAGAGTATTTTATTTTTAGGTTTACGGAGGATATCACATGCTGGGAATGGCACACATTTTAAAAGAAAATTGGGCATGAAAATGAGATTTCCCTCCCCTGCACGTTAAAAAGAGCGAGGTTTTTTTCACATTAACTAGCGTTGCACCTCATTAAGCAGTGTTTCTCTTAAATGCTTGTAAAGCACAATGGAGACCCCTTTAAAAATTGTTACCTGCACAAAACGGCGTTCGGGTGCATTATAGGACAGGGATGTTTCACTGCAGGGCAACATCTGTTTGCAACAGCTCCCAGTGCATGGTGGGTCAAACACGATGGGAAAAAACCATTTTTCAGTGTAAGGTGCTTCCTGCTGGGGGCCTGAGGGAGGGAGGGAGAGGGAGAGACTGACTGCATCATCGTGGTGAACAGGATCAGTGTTCCGCTCTCTCCACATACGACGTTGCGCCTGCCGTGACGTGTTTCTGAGGTGGGTGAGGTGACATCTCTTACTGGCTTGACTTCTCTCGCGGAAGTGGCCTGACCCCTTCTGTCATAGGACTTCACCTTAAATGGTCTCTTGCAATAGGCATAAACTACGTATGCTGAAGAAAACGTTCTACTTTGGCTTGAGCTGGGACACTTGAGTTCCTTTCTCACAGAAGAGCACCTCTGTGACTAGCTAAATATTTCTCTCACCAGCAGAAGTTGGCCCAATAAGAGTACTTCTGCCCTTGTCTCTCTCATAACCTGGGACCCATACAGCAACTGTTCATGGTAATCGGATTCGGGCAAATAAGCATCCCTGGTTGGGCAACCTTAAGGCCTTGTCTACACTCAAAGGAAGATCGCCAGTGCCGTAATCCATCTTCTGGAATTTGATTTTGCGTATCTAGTTAAGACTCGCTAAATTGAACTCAGGGCACCACTACTGCCGATGTCCAGTACTCCTCCTTTTGAGAGGAGTAAGGGAAGCCGATGGGAATGTTTGCTCCCTTAAGCCTCCTGCTGTGTGGACGCTACCAAGCTCGGTTTAAGGTAAGCCGACTCCAGCTATGCATTCTATGTGGCTTGAGTTGCCTATCTTAAGCTGAGCTTCCGGGTCTAGTACACACCTGGCCTTAGTGATCTGATGCCTGTTCCTTGGCAGCAAGAATCCTTGCCGGGGAAGTCACGCAGTGGGAGCAATAAACAGACCATTTCGGCTGTATGTACAGCCAGTGGAGGGATTTGCAGGTTCCAGATTCCCAGAAGTCCAGGGAATAGCAACAGACCATTTCAAGCCTGGTAGAATTCTAAGCAGAGAAGGGGGTGGCGGCTGTCGAGCATGGGAACGATGTCACGTTGCCGGGTTGAAAGCTGGAAGCGACCCCTGGGAGGTAAGACAAGTGCTGGCAAGAACGTGATTCTCTAGACTTGAACACTGCAGAGCGGCTAGTGCTACCTGTGAGTGAGCTGAAGGGATGATATTGGCTCTGGGCTAGTTTTGAGCTCTCAGCACCAGAACAAATTGACAGCGGCTTGAAACGGGGGAGTGGTTTTTCCATGGCTTGCCTGCAGACTCCTGCGATGAACACGAGCGCACACGCACGACAGGGCCTGTTCTCAGCTGGCCTGTAATTATGTAACTCTGCTGATTGCCAGGGAGTCGGACTCCTTTTCTGTAGCAGATAACCGGGCAGGCTGAGCCACATGAGCGAGTCTTGTTAGCAGATGGAAAGATCTGCTGCAGATTTGGCAAAGCCACGAAACCTTGAGTGTTCCCAGCCATGACTACTCTGCGGGGGTGGGGGAATAAGCCGTGTGGCTAGCTGTAATAATCCCTTTGCAACCCCATTGTTGGCGTCCGAAAAACGGTTTCTTGTCTATCGTCCGGATGCGCTCAATCTTGTAGGGATGAAATTGCCTCAGGAATATTGCTCGGTCTGCAGATGGCCTGTGGACGTGGAGCTGATGCAGAGGTTTTAAGCCCTCTCTTCTCGGTATGTAAGAGATGCCACCAAACCATGCCATTGCAAAAGGCATCGACTTGCCCACTGCGCTGGATCCGGTTGCAATGTTGGGCACCAAGACGTTCTGAGATGTTTCCTGAGCGGTGGGTCTTTAATGGGCAGGCCCAGAACTCCCCGCTCCCTGACAGACGGGGCTGCTGCTCTGTGTACGCAGCAGCTCGTGCAGCTGCCTGTTCCCAAAGAGCGTGGAGGA